TCGTTTCAGGGATTGATCTTACCGGGAAAACAAACCTACAAAATCTATACCAGGGGAGAGCTATCATCTTTTGTTCCAGTGTAGTTCTACTAATCAACCAATCATTTATAGGAAGGCATCGATGCTCAATCTGCCATTGTAACGAGGCTATTTTGTTGGATTAGATTTCATATTTCGGACCTATTTAATTAGCTTCAGAACTTCTTGTTTAAATTTAACGGTTTCATCCATTTGTCCACCACCCTGTCCTTTACATTTATATTAGGTCTCAACATCCTATATGTTGATTTAACTGACAAGATGTGAAACATTCGCTTATACCATCGACCTCTTCCTCCAGGCGTGGTCCATACTCAATTAATGGGATCTAATGTCAGGCAATGGATAGGTGTATTGGGTTTAAATGCTAACCATGTGGTGTTATACTTCAAAACTCTGATCCTAAAGACTTGCTCACCATCAACCCATCTAGTCCCCTCCTTAGGATTTGGACAAATTGTATTATCATGTGCTAACTTGTATAGGGCCAACAAAGTTTCACAATTGGGATCAATTTGTAAGATATTTCCAATCAAACCAGATTGATTTAATATGGACACCCAATCTCTATATTTCAGCTTGGTCCATTTTCTTGTCCATTTTCTGAGTATCCTAAGTCAGTCCAATGACATTAATTCAATAACTTGTTTTAGTGCTTCCACTGAATGATAGCAATATCGCAACCGACTCTACAATTCATTTGGGGATATCCAGTCCTTCGTGTTTATATTCCAGATATCCTTGATACGCAAGATACTCTTTCTTATCCAACTTTTTCAAGGAAAGTCAATACAATGGAAATTACAACCTTGTGAGTTCCTAATCTAACCATTATTGAAGAATGGTTGTTGACACACTTCTTCCCATCTCTCAGGAGCCACCTTATCTGGTAAGAAAAGTTTTTCCCATGTTTTTAACAGGGTAGGCCAAAACGGATCCTTGCCCATATTCATTCCAGCTGCTTGATGGCCTGAGGTTACTCGGCCTTCCACATCCCCTGATAACTTCCTAGGAATAGACCAGGATCTATTTTCCAGCCATGTAAATCTATATTCTATCTGCGGATTCTGGAGCTAAACGCCTTATCTGTTCTCATGCCAACCAACTCCAGGGAGTTTGAGGGTTAAAGAGTAGTCTCTTGATCCGTTGGATGGACAGCGCCATTCCTTGTGTTGTCGGGTGAATGACACCCAGTCCCCCTTTGACTTTAGGTTGTATCAATGATTGTCAAGCTATCTTGCTAATGACATTTTGACTCTCATGATTAACCCGCCATAGGAACGCTACCACTTGCCTTTGTAGAATTGTAAGTGTTGACTTGTTCATAGGTCATATAGCCGACTTGTACCTGATAGAAGTCAATACTACATTATTAATAACAATGGCACGTCCTATTACAGAGGTATGCTTGTTTTCCATAATTATAGTTTTGCTTGTGCTAGTTGGGCAATCAATTCATTATTAGTAAGTAGTTTTCCTATAGCAGTGAGTGAGATTCCTATAACTCTTATTAGTGTATCCAATGAGACCAATTTCACTTTGGGTTATTCTGGAAGTCGTACCCTTTCATGGTGGATCCACTATCCTAGATTCTTACTACCCCAGTTGACCCTCATGTAAGAAAGACGACATAAATCGCACATCATTCTTTGTACAGCACCCAAATTGTCATATGGTGCTTCTATCATGAGAGATGGATCATCAGCAAATAAGGAGCAGACGGGTATACCTTCCTCATGACATTGTATGAATGTTACTTTGATGCGTTTGATATCCTTATGTTTTCTTAGGTTGGTTGTTAATGCCTCCATTACAATGACGAATAGAAAAGACACAATCCAGTTTCCTTGCCTAACTGATTGATGTAATGAGATAGGTGGGGCAACATTACCATTAATCATCATTCTAGTGGTAGCATTGTGGTGGAAAATTTCGATCATTTTTCTGAAGCAAGGACCAAACTCAAGTTTCTCTAGACACTTGTCCAAGAAGTACCAATCCACATGATTACATGTTTTTTCAAAATCTATAAATATAATTGTTGCATTATACTTAGATTGGTGAGATAGCTTAACCAATTCATTGATTAATAAAACGTTGTCTTGAATATTCCTTCCATTTATAAACTCAATCTCCGCTGAATGAATAATATTTGTTATGACCTCAGTTAGTCTATTTGCTATGACTTTTGCCACAATGACTAACTTATAAACCACTGTGAGCAAGGTGATTGGACGGTAATTGCGAACATTAGATTGTTTCTCTTTTTGTACAACAGGGCTAGTACTCCCCGACCCACAATTTCTCTCATTTCATCTGTCATCCAGACTGCTTGGTAAAAAATTATTAAATCTTGTGAAAAAAAATCCCAACCTGATTTCCTGAATTCGGATTTCGGTTTCTTGAATTAGGGAGCGCGATTTTTGTTTTAAGGTGGGGATTGGGATTGATTGTCATGATTTTGTGGGGCTGCGGTAGGGATAAGTTTGGCCGAGAGTGCCTTGCTTAGCCCGTTTGCCGCAACAAATGATGTAAGGGACGCCGTACCCGTTTCTCGGTTATATGATATCCGCTTTGTTCTGTAAAAAAAAAAAAAAAAAAAAAAAAGTTGTTCAGCTTATTTTTCGACATGACAAAATTTGTTTTTATAATTTTTGGATTTTTTTTTTTTTTTTGCTGAGACCTTCTATCTTCATTGCACGACCAGGCAACCTAGGCAAATAAGGTGATTGGGCGGCCCGGATGGTAGCCTAGTTATTGCCAATATTTCAAGGGTCCGTGTTTTTTTTTGTACGGGAAAAATGATTTTTTAAGAAGTCTTATGCACAAGTACATGGTAGAGTCCTTTTGCCATCGACAAATGCAAGAAAAGTGAGATCACTAAATTATCAGTATATGTGGAAAATTCAAATGAGCCTCTACGAAAAACTAGGGAAATCGGGGCAGGGCTTGTCTAGGGGTGGGCGGAATTTCTTTATGCATCAGGGTTTGGCCTATGCCACCTCATGACATTTTTTCAATGGCTCCTAAGATGCCGTGCGAGGGGGCTCCAAAATTTTAGCGGAGGCTCAACCAGATTTTAAACTTGGCTCGGGCCATGTACTTGTAGTCTAAACAATATGCTTAGCAAGGGCAAAAAAGACAAGCAAACATATCAGTAACCAATCCTCGAGGTTCACCTTCATATTGCATTGCAACGAAGTATGGTGATGCCCATTTTCCAGGACGAAGGAAAAAAAGGAAAAAAAATGATAAATAAAACCAAGAGATAAAGTTCATGTCACTTTTGTGTATGGAACGGGAAAAAAAAACATGCGTTGGCAGAGAAAACCGTGCCGAGTTCGAAAAGACGACGGAAGTATCGACGACCGTGGTGTTCGACTGGGTGTCATATTTATAGGGGTCAATCGTGTTGTCAAAGAGGAAAACAAAAAAGAAAAGCAAATGCCTAACGGATATTTTTGGATCGAAATCACTCATTTCGAGTTGGAGCGTAGTTTCTTTACCGGCGAGAAATGGTTAACGGGGGAGGGCAAATATTGGTCGTTTTCTCCTGCAATTTCGGTGCGAAATTCGTTGAAATTTTCAAAAACAAACGATATGGGCGCATAGTGCAAACCTAAAAAAAAAAAAAAAAAAAAAAAAAAAAAAAAAAACACTATAAAACTTTAACACAAAAACAATGTCGGAGTTAAAATGAAGCATCCAACGAATTCAACGAAATGCCAACTTTTTCATTATTGATCCAAAGTTCCAAACATGTCAAAATTGGGCACATGATGCAGCCTTAAGCACATATATATCACACAAAACAAAAACAAGAAAAAAAGCAAAAAATCAGCACAATGTAACAGTTTCGGTGCAATTCGGTGCAAAATTTGCCGACAATAACCTCTCCGGTGAATACAATTTTTTTTTGTCATTAGAGTTTCAAAACATACCACGCTTGCCGCTATTTCTAAAAACAAATATAAATGAGGAATATTTTTTTCTAGCAAATAGAGTATATTAACAACGCGTCTAAAGGAGCAGAAGAAAAAAATATAATGACAGTGACTGTGAATCTGTGCTTTTTATGTCAATTTTACAAAGGTCATATTCTTGCCCACAGGTCCTCCGAACAAGGAAGGGGTAGCACATCATATTCCAGCCCACCACCTGATCGGACTCAGGGAAAAGATACAATGCAGTGCAGGACCGCCAAAAGGCGGAGTAGAACGAGCCGCACCGACGAGGTGGTAGTGTTAGGGAGATAGCAGCGGCAGCGGACATGGTGGAGGAGGGAAAGATGGCGTCCATGACGGGGCAAATGGAGGCGGTGACATGGGAGATGGAGGCGTTCAAGCCATCTCCGCCATCTCTACCATCTCCGCCATCTCCTCAATCTCCCTCTCCTACCACCTCCATCTCCCTCGCCGCCATTCTCCCCCACCGCCTCCATCTTTCCCGGCATGACCATTACCCAGTCGCCACCCCCGCAACCTTTGTCGCTTCCTGCACTCTGCCGCATCCCGTCTCTGACATCACCCTCCACTGCTTTCAGTCTTATGCCACTTCTCCATGTGTGTCGCTTCCCACCATGAGCCACTTTCCCCCCTCCGCCCTCCACCCTTCACCATCCTCCACAATTGTTTGCCCATCTCCGCCATTACATAATCGATTCGATTACAACGGAGGGTCACAAGTGATGGAGGAGCTTCATGGGCGATGGCAGCCGATGGTAGAGGATGGCAGAGGGCGGCGGGTCGATGGTGGAGGGTGGAGGGCATAGTGTAGAAGGCGGGAAGCTGCTGAAGGCGGAAAGCTGCTGAAGGCGGAAAGCAGGGGAGGCGGAAAGTGGCATAGGGCGGGAGGCAGTGGAGCTTAGAGGGCGATGGCGGAAGGCGGAGGGTGATGACCAAGGACAAAAAAAAATGGAGGGGGGGACGCACTGGAGGGTGAGAACCGGACGAGGGCAGGAACGGCAAACTGTGGGAAGCGCTTCACGCCCTCTGCCCTCCACCATCCACCTGCCCCCCTTAACAATTCTTCACCATCACCCGCCACCCTCCACCCTCTGCCCTCTACCATCGCCCTGACCATCCTTCGCCATGTCTCGCTCTCCACCATTTCTCGCCTTCTGCCACTTCCCGACCATCGAGGCTTCCCGGCCGCCCCCGCCCGCCATCAATCCGCCGCCCTCCACAATCCTCCGCCATTGCCCATCACCCTCCGCCGTAATCACTACCGACATCGCCGCCTCCAAAGGTGCCACAACGGCCATCAACTCCATCACCACCACCATCGCCACCGCCTTTCCCATCATTGCCACCACTTTTGCCACCATCGCCTCCATCGGCTTCGCCATTGCCACCCCCACCACCATCACCACCGCCTCCACGAGCACCACCGCCACCGCCACCACCACCGCCGTTGCCCTCGCCATTAACTCCGCCACCACAACAACGAATACGTTAAAACGGACATTTTATATTTTTTGAACGAAATTGAAACCCACTTATTTCACCCTAAAAATTTCCCTGTTTTAGTTCATTAGGGTCCCCATTGGATGTACCTGAACTTCAGTTAAGTCCAAATGGTTCCTCATGAGATAAACAGTGATATTTTTTGGGCCAAATAAGTAGGTTTCAATTTCGTTTAAAAAATATAAAATGTCCGTTTTGAGGAAATCGTTGTTCCACCTTCGCCTCCATTCCCACCACTATCGGTGTCACCGTGATTTCGAAAATCAAATCGATACCGTAATTGATCTTATTACGCAAATGAATAGATCACGCAAGCAACAAAATAAAAAACAAAAACAAAAAAACTCTCCAAAACATCTGTGCAATATATATGTTGTGCATCATCTCAATACAAGCAGCATTTATCCGAGCATCATTCCGCAATCCATATTATAATGTTTGGGGAAACATAAAAAAAAAAAAAAAAAAAACTAGGTTTGAGGGTGTTTTTTTTTTCTCTCGTCGTTTGTATTTGTTTTTTTTTCCCCACCTAGGATTTTAATACGAATATTGGGATGGTTCTCAAAAAAATATAATTTGTATTGCGATACTGCAAAACTTATGTTTGATTTTCAGATTCTTTGGAATTTTCCCCCCCCGCCTGTGCGATTCATACATTTTACATAATCAAATCGATTATGTAATTGATTTAATGAAGTAAACCACACGTTTGCATAATCAATGTAAAAGATTTTATTACACAATTCACGCAGTTAGGGTCACCAGCCCGTACGTACGGAGGTCCCCGGGCAAACCTCCGTATGTAAGGGCGTTCGGGGTCCCGTACGGGGTCCGAACCAGACGGCGTTTCGCCCCCGCCAAAAATTATTTCGGGTTTGTGAGTTCTCTACAACGTGAGGTACATGCCTGTAAAGTTTCAATTCCTTTGGCTGATCCCAATAAGAATTGAAAATCGCCAAAGATGGCGGTGTCAAAACGTGCTCGCCCACATATTTTTTTACTTTTTACATTTTGTTTCCACTTTAGTTCGGGGTCTAAGCAATTTTATTATTTTTTGAAACTTTTTTAGTGGGTTTTGTATTATGTGAAGTAAACATCCGCAAATTTTCAGGGCATTTAGCTATGCCCCCCCAAAAAAAAACATCGCCAAAGATGGCAGTGTCGAAAACATGCTCGCTCACTCACTAAATTTAATTGTCTTTTTATTTTGATTTATTTTTATTATTAGTATTTGTTTTCCGTATTTTATTTTTATTTCAAATTTGGTAAGGAATTCGGATGTAATGCTTAGGCAAATCTTGTTTAATTTCTCCATAACTTATTTTTTTTTCAGATTTTTTTGATTACCTTTTTTTTTTTTTTTTTTTTTTTGGTTCGCGTTCGGCCTGAACAGCCGAACGCATCCCCAAAAGGTCCCATATGTTCGGGCGTTCGGGTTCGGGCGTTCAGCCCGTCCCAAACGCCGGTTACCCTGCACGCAGTTATATAATCGAACCAATTATGTAGTCAATTTGATTACGTAATCCACGTGATTGCATAATTAAATCGATTACATATCGATTTGCTTATGCAAATGAATGGATCGCCTAGGCAAAAGAAAAAAAAAAAAAAATGAAAAAAAAACAAACAATATATACTGTGAAACATCTCAATATAAACAACATTTGGTTGAGCACCATCATAAAACTAGTATTATGATCTTAAGGAAAAACTACAAAAACTAGGTTACCTGATCGGACGTCCGGGACCCCCTGACTGTCCGTGGTTGTCCGCTCGGACATCCTCCCTTGGCAGACTGTCAAAGTCCGAACAAAAAAAAAAAAAAAAAAAAAAAAAATCCTCCAAAAACTTTGGAAACAAACTATGTTATGCAGAAACATAAACTGAACAACTTCTGCCTTGGGATGATATCGAAATTCATTGTCAATTTTAAAATAAAAAATAAAATTAAAGGCACCGCCAATTTTTAATTTTTTTCGTGCAATTAATTGCTAAAAATAGAGTTGTCTGGGCCCGGCAACCGGAACAACCCTGATTGTCCGGCCAGGACGTCGTGCCATCGGACAACTGGTAACAAAGCAAAAAAAATAAAAAACAAAGAAATGAGTGAAGATGTTTTTTTTTTCTCCCAGATTTTTTTTTTTTTTTTTTTTTTTTTAATACCAAGATTTGAATAAGAGTTTCGAAACGAGACTCTGGCAAACGTTGCTTGAACTGAGATGCTGTACAACATAAAGCTTTTTAAGATATTTTTGAGGGTTTTTTTTTGTCTCTTCAACAACAAAATTATTTACGTAATATATTTTATTTGCCAAATTAATGAACGTTCTCCATTTGGAATAAATTTTTTTTTGTTAATGATCTCTCTCTTGTCCTTCTTCAATTTGCATGAATCTCAGGTATGCCTGCATTTTCTTGGAAACCTGTCTTATATTTTTTTGTTGTCACAAAGGAATCTCATGTTAAACAACATTATCATGAAAACAAATTTTGAGAAAAATTGTCGCAAAATTGGCAAAATGAACATTCATCTTGGGCCACTTTTCATGAACTGCGTGTTAAAAAGGAAAAAGTCAAAGAGAGAAAAAAAAGATTTACTCATTTGTAAAAAAAAATAAACAAAGGAAAAAAACGTTTTGTTTTTGTTGGCCCCGAGAGAGAGAGAGAGAGAGAGAGAGAGAGAGAGAGAGAGAGAGAGAGAGAGAGAGGGAGGGAGGGAGAGAGAGAGAGAAGTAGAGAGAGAGAGAGAGAGAGAGAGAGAGAGAGAGAGAGAGAGAGAGAGTTATTTTAATGCACGAATCTCGTGAAGCGGTGCGGATAATCTGCTTCTCTTCATAACGAGGCCAAAATTCAAGCAGGATATGACATACGAGTAGAAAAAAAAAGAAAAAACAGGGTCACGACGCCCCCTTGGGACAACTTTTTTATTCCACGCCAGTAACGTTACGGACCTGATGGTGGGTCTTCGGCCTAAGGCGAAAGGCCGATGAGTCGCTACGTGCCTGAGGCGAGAGGCCGATGAGTCGTGTGCTTAGAAAGTACGAAAAATGTTATATTTTTGCAGGTAAACTTGCCAAACGTGTTAAATTTGTAATAAAATAGATATTTCTACCATAAAACTTGGGACCGGACTATATTTTTGCAATGAAACGTTGAAAAGTCAATATTTCTACAACTAACTCATTTATGGCACATTCATCAACTTTCCTGGAAATATGTCAACTGAGACTAGCACTTGAAAATAAAAGAGGTATAAAGGGAAACTACGTGATGCTGCCTTGCTGAGTTGGGTAACTTCCCTTATAAGTTGATCTCTTCTTCAGTGGGTAAGGGTAATTGGGTAAAAAAAACAACAAAACATTATGTCTCAATGGACTATCTTCAAAATTCAACGATAAGTAAATTTTTACAAGGCATGTCTCCCAAGAGCAAGGTTGGTAACCCTGACGAGAAACGAGCAATTTGAATGCAGACTATTGAAGAAAAAAAGTGTTGATAATTAGAATGATAGGTAGTGACGAATGACCTGGTGGCCCAACAGTTAGAGCTTCAACTGGAAATGCGTATTGTGGTATGACGTTGCAAGCTTAAAATTTTGCCACCTCGAGCACATCCTCCGTTAGGCGCCCAACCATTCACCCCCCCCCCTTGGACTGCCACATGGTACCTGTCACAAACACTGCTTGTGCACCACCCAAGGGGTTAGGTCCATGATTTTTGTATGCTGGTAGTGGGCTTTGGGGGGAGGACTGTTTGAGTGGTTGACCTTTAGGGGTCTAAGTGTCGAGTGTTTGTGTGTGGGCATTGTGTTGAGTATGGTCTGATGATCTCTAAGTCTGTCTCGTGTATCCATCATGGGCGGGGTATAGGGGATAGATGGGGGGAGGGATGATAGATAGGGAAGCGGGTGAGATGGATAGATAGGACTCTGTATAGGGATAGTGGATTTGTATGTGGGTGCCGCTTACTTTGTATGGGCTGCTATGTGGGTGTATATGGGTGCATCCGGGTACCACGATTGTTTTCCGACCTCATGATCCACCCACGAGAGTCCATACCCATATCGTACGATCCTAGGTCCCAGGTAGACCCCATTCTCTACACCCCCTTGAGTAGTGCCAATGGTTGGGTGTTAGGCATATACGATTCCCACAGGCGGGCGTCAGGTTGATCTCACGATGCTTGTGGGTTGGGCTTCATCCGGGTAAGTGTCTGTCTAAGTTCCCACTTGGGCGTGAGTCTGGGGAAGGGCTTCAAGGTAGGGTGTCATCTTAGGCAGGGGGAGAGGATTGTCGAATTGATGTAGAAGGGTGGCTCTGCCACCTATAGAGTCTGCACGATGCGATACAAGACGAGAATGAAAGTGTATATTTGTGACCCCTCCTGTATCTGAGCCTTCCTCGAGATTCGGGGTATCCCTATGGTAGCGCCCAAAGGGAAGTGTATACAACCCCTCGAAAGGCGCAGGTTGGTGTAGGTCTAGGTCTAAATAGAGAGGTCTGGGTCGCACTGCCATAGGGCTCGACTTGCAATAAAGATTAGGATATAATAGGTCACGAATGATATCCCTTAGAAGAAAGACTGCCCTCGGGGTTATCACAAGCCATCCGATCCCCTCCCTGGTTGAGTACGACTACATACACCTCTCGAGGCCTAGCATCCACCCTATACCACGACATGGACCTTTTGTATTTAAAAAAAAAAATTATAGGTAGTGACAAAGATTGACTTTTGTATGTTTTTTCCTTTGACTCAGAGGAATAGGAATGGTAGTCCAAGAAAACTAGTATGACTTGGTAATACTCAATAAAAAACGGCAACAGGCTTTGCCCTAAACTCCTATTTTGTAGAAATGAAAACTTGGGCTAAAGAGTCCTTACTCAAAGAGGAGGATTTTTTTGCTACTCAAACATCATACCTTGGTAGCACATCTTATCTGCCCGGATAATCTGGTCGGATTATCTAGCTGGATGATCGGGGGTCACATTTATCCGGAAATCAGGATGATTAAAAAAATGGTCAAAGAAAAAGAAAAAGAAAAAGAAAAAAAAAAAAAAAAAATGATATTGCACATGCAAAATACAATAGAACTACGTTCGTATTTCATAACAAAGCTTGATAGGTCATGAAAGGGTTCAAAGGAGGTAAGATAAGGAATAAAGGGGTTTAGAGGGGGGATGCTTAATTCGTTTTATAACTTTTTATCTAAATATTTTTTTTTTTTTCTGTTT